GAACAATTATCATTTTTTTTCTTACTTTTTCCACAAATAAAGAGTTAGCAAATAATTTATATGTTTTTATAGTTATATTATCCTTAATAAAAAAATATTATAATGATAAAGTGTAGAATTAAAGTTAAACGATAATAAAGTTATATTATGAAAAAAAATGTTTTATCTACTCTATTTTAACACTATTGTGTTAAAATAATTGTTATTTTTATTTTTTTTTAATTTAGGAACAATTTATTCACCTATATTATCCTTTCAAAAAAGATTAAAAATAAAGAGAAAATTTTGGTAATTTGATCAATAATTAATGTTAATAGATACTAAGTAATAACAGTGTTAATGTAAAATAAATTAAAAACCAAAAATTAATTTTAAACAGTTTTATTTTTTTAATAGATGGAGTGTTACTGTGAAAATGGAGGCAATATATAATTACCAAGTAGTAGAGGTACTCCCGCCAAGCGGGAAATTAACGACCCCAACGGAGGATGACTCCAACAACCTCCTGTGCCTGGCCGAGTCACGCGCCACGAGTTGGCTCAGGTTATGTTGTTGACTGCGTGGAATCGTCCTCTCCAGCTTGAAACTCGTCGGTAACTCACCCAAAACTATCGCCACCGGCAGAATTAACTCGGCTAACAAGATTCTAACCGCAACCATCCTGCCCCTTTCCACAAAATGAGAGCTCCCTTTTCACCCACAACAGCAACAAGAAAATGATCGCTTCAGCTGGCAATGGATACGTTCTCAAAAATTCACAACACTGTAAAAAGAATCAATAAGGAGCGAGGAACGTTATGTTGCATGCACACACATATATATAGGGGTCCGAGTTGAAATTGAGCAGAGAGAATTTAAATTTTCCTTATGAAATTTCGGATTTGTAGCTATTGATGTGTACGCGTATTTTTTTATATTAAATTAAATTGAGTAAGCTTTATTCGGCAAGTCCCTTACCTAAGCTCTAGCACCAGTTTGGTGCAGTTCCTGAGAAGGATTTTTTAGCTTTAAAAGCTTGTATTAAACATTACAATTAATAAAAAATGTTATAATTTTTCATAAATTAATATTTTTTTACTTCATTGCAAATATCAAAAGCACCAAATTAATGTTTCTGTGGGAATTTTTTATATAAATTTTAATAAAATTAATACATTTTTTTATTTATAAAAATAATATTTCTACAATAATTTTTTTTCAACAAAATTTCTATTAAAAACTCCAATTAAACCAAAGTTACTCGGCAAGACCCTTACCCAGGCTTTATTCAGCAAGACCCATACCTTGTTTTTTTTGGATCGGCTACATCCTTGCGGCCTTACCTTGTTAAATTGGTTTTTTAATTCAATTCGCTCAAAGAATATTTCCGTATGAAAGACGCTACTCGTAATTAAATTTAATATCTTATATTTTAGA